CTCCCCTCCCCTCCCTCCCCCCTCTCTTCTCTAAAACAATGCTCGTTCTCGTTCATCATCGACCCGTCCGCTCGCTCGTCACCTCTTTTTCTCCGCGATCATTTTTATCAGCCTCACGACACCCTCTCGTTCTCTCATGCCATCACCTTCAGCGCCGGCTTATCGACGACCACGACCCGTCTACCCGTTTGAGAGGTAGACCCTCCCCTTCAAATTTAATACACTTTTCGCTCCCGCTCTCCTCGCTCTCGTCTCGCAGACCCCCCCCCCTGACGTATTCTCAAATTTTTACGCCGCACCATCATTTTTATTTGGCACGTGTCGATACCGAGCCGTTTTATCGATTTATGGCTTGCGTTTTATATCGCCGATAAATATCGCCCGCTTCCTCGATTAATCGATCGCGCTTCTACTCGCGTTCTCGCTTTCATTGGCCGAGTTTGAGGCTGTGCCGCGCACGATTTTTGCCTGTTTCTTCTCTTTCGCGTTTGTTTTACGGCTTATTTTCGCATGGAGCCGCAAATCTACTATCTTTTGCCTATATTTAAAGAGAGGAGATTTAAAAAGATGTGCGCGATAAAGACGACATCCGATGAGCCGGGGAAAATAGTATTTTTGAAAAGCCATAAGACATTTTCATCGTGAGCGATCGAAGCTATTTTAGCGTTTGTACACTTTTAAGACTACTACTTCACTTTCTTTACCGAGAAATATTTAAAGTCTTTTACAATAGCGTAGTTAAGTGAAATAACATTAATGCATCCGCGTATCGAGAATTCCGACAGAAACCGCGAGGACGCGGTAAAGTTTAACGGCGAAACTTTTATGACCAACACAATTAAAAATGCTTAAATGATAAAATTATTCTCCCGATATTTTACTTCCATATATATAATTATTCCATAGGAATGCATTTAAATATTCCAATAAACCCGGAACTGCAGAGTAAATTTGACACTGGGATATTCCCGAGTATTTTCACGAATCGACCATATCTACGTTCCGTTTCTCCGTTGATGAACGAAACGTAAAACGCATACGCTTTAGAATCAATCGAAACACTTATCAGAGTTAGGAAAAAATAGTCATTCTACAATTACGTTATTTAATATAAAATATGTGAGAAAAAGTATTTATTAATTGATCCGTATTTAATTTTCAAAATGATTAAAATGTAGAACGTCTTTTGTATCAATCTTTTGTATCAATATACATCTTTTTAGACATGATTAAGTTACGGTTTGATTTTTTTTTTTTTTATTACAGTGTCGCCGGGTGAACTTCGACTAAAACTCTACGCCAACGATCGAATCAAATTGATTTCCTACCTCGAATCGCATTGATACACAGTCACATCATTGAAATGTTCATCTGCATGTCACTAGCAAAAACCCGCTCCGTAGCTAATCAACGATAATTTAAGCATATTTATTGCAACGTGATTACCTTGCACGTCTCTTGTGCAAGTCTTACAGCCTGTTTACACTACGTGATTTTGTTAGCATGTCATTTGTAGTATCGTCACGGTATCGGTTTATCGCTCTTACATTGTAAAATAAATAATAACTGTATAACGAAATTGAAGTAACAATCAATCAACGTATCACTATTTATTTTACAGTACCACTACAAAAATCTTTATAGCAATGTGAAGCTGCGTACAAACCATGATTTTTATTTTTATACGAATCGATACCGTTCCGAAAATCGAGTGGTGTGAATACGCTGGGCGAGAATGGATATACATTGCGTTTCTTTTCTTTTCTTTCTCGCAACAAGCAACGAGAAGCAATCGGCAAAGGCAAGTGTGGTAAAATTGTGTTCTGAGAAAAAACGATCGGTCCGCCCGATTACTTTCGCGTGCTTTCTGACACTGCTCGTCGCCGTTTTTTAGCGTCTTTTTGGTTACTACTGGAACTGTGATTTTCCTCCTCTCCCCCCGATTCTCCGATTTCGTACAAGCATGTTTATCACTTCAGAAATCTTTCGCTATTTATTTACATCCCCGTCCGCGCGCAAATTGAGTGTATATCCTTTTGCTACTTGCTAATTAATATCGAGAGAGACGACAAAAGTGTACTCTCGCTATAATTACTTCGATGTATATCTCCATTAAGCTAGCAGAATCAAATCAGGACAAAATCAAACCGGACCTTCACTTATTTCACTTATTTCATACTCCTTTTGTACCACCAATAAAAATTTTGTACTGCCATAATGAAAAAAAAAAAAACGTGATCCCGCTGGCTTAATAACTATTAAGCTAGCGGCACCACATTTTTTTCAATACGGCACGGCCAACATTTTTATTGGTGATACAAATTAGTAGAAAATAAGTACTAAATAATTGAAGATCCGATCTGATTTTGCGAAATTTGTCCTGCTTAGATTGGAGATTGGATTTATCTTGCTTGGATCGAGATTTACTTTAGTGCAAATTGACCATGCCTGTGAATGTTAAGATATTTTATTATTTAAACAATTATTAATTTGTACGTTCTATATGTGACGCACGGGATGCAAATTGAATGTTTTATCTCAGTAGCATAGATAATTAGATACAACCTTTTTTACTCCGGGCACATGACATTTACACACTCGATACGCTTGAAAAATACGCGTTATGAATAACGCAGCGAATGCAATACACGGTGTAATAACTGTGCCCTCGTGCAGTCACGAGTTGCGTCACGAGTTGTTACATTAATCGCGTAATGAATATTAGAAATTTTCGCGTTGAACTCACTCATTAAATGACTTAACTTTATGAAAAAGTATGGACGCGTAACGATCGATTTTAATAAACGAATTTTAATAAATTCTCCAGTTAATTGGAATCAAACGACTACCTTGAAATTTTGATGCGGGAATTGAACGTTCAAGATTTAACGCAAATTTAATTAACGTCGAGCTCATTTCGCTATCTCGCGAGTAACCTCACCGACCGAGATATTTTATAGCGAGATATAAATTATATGACTTGTGCAAAAACAAAATATTCGTTTACGTTACGTGATATATAAGGAGAGACGTCATGCGCGAACAGAAAAACACCCGGACAATATATCGATTCGTTGACAAGATAAACGGCGCTCGATGGCCGACGCGAGTATATGGCGAACGGCGAATTCGCGTTTCTCGCGGAGCGTTTCAAACAAAAGAAAAGACAAAAAGAGAAAGGGGAAAGAATGGTAGAATATCCACACACGCACATTTGCCTTGACCGATCGTGGCGTTGCTTGTTGCAGCGAGGCGTCGCGGCGACGAGGAGACTGCGGGTGACGTCGGCGCCGGAAGCGAGGCGCACATCACGCCCGGCGACGAGGACGACGAGGATCAGGAGGACCCGCGTATCATCGACGAGAAGGTGCCGCAGGGTGGCCAAGAGAATCCGATACACACGAGCACCGAATACGTGAACGGCCGTACGGACATCAAAGACGTCAAGAAGAACGAGAAGACGGACACGCCCGTCTAAAAGAAAGAAAAAAAGAAAAAAAAAGAGAAGGGACGCATTCCTCTCGCCTCGTTTCCTTCTTCTCTCTCTCTCTTTCTCTCTCTTTACCTTTCCTTCGTACGGGAAAACCGAGCTGTCGTACTTTTCCACGTCACGCTGTACTTTAGCGATAACGATCCAAGTTTTCCTGGGTGATTTCCGTTTTTACGTATAAAGCGCGTGGACACCTCCGTTAAGTGTCGTGATCGAAAAGTGATCGTCGT